TTCGATAGAATCGCTGTGCCATCATATCGATGTCGTTAACGATAAAGATGTTTCTTATGCAGATTGCTTGATGGTGATCCAGCTCTCCGCATAGTCCACACCCATCGGCACGGATACACTGTCCATAGTGTCTACGAGGACACACGGTGCAGTATCCGGCTCTCCGGAGGTTTGCCCTCACGCTAAGGTGCCTATACCTGTCACATTCGGCCGAAAAGTGATCCGTGGATGAACAGAAGACACATGGTGGCTGCCTTCTGTTCTCCTGTGCAGGTAGCTCCTCGTACGTAATACTGGAGCTCGACTGCGAGGAATACTCGCTCGGGCTCTCACATCGACTTCTTCACGCGAGTCTTGGCTTACCGCTCGCTTCCTCTTCCTGCCGCGACGTCCGCGGCGGGACCTGGATCTGGACCCTGGAGGTCCAGCCTCCCCACTTTGGCAAAACTCGGCCCAGGGCGAGATGGTGGCGCAGCCAAGGATTCACGTGGAACGGGTGGAGAAAGCGTCCGTGGACGCTGGTCCTGACGAAGTACTGGTGACTCTTTTGGCGCAACCCATCCCGATTTGAATTTTGGATTCTCGGGGGGTTGACCAGCTGACGTAGTAGGTGCAGGGCTCGAGACGTGGATGCTGACGGTCCTGGACCGTCAAGTATACGTCGAGTCTCTGCAAGCACTCTTTGACGAAATAGGGCGTGAGACTGACTATGAAACTGTTCCGTATAGTGCTCCCTCCACCACTGGAGATATGTCGCAACGCTTTGTTCTGAAAATTCTCCAGGTGGATTCGTCTGATAATCCGCTACGAGATGACGCGATCCCTCGTCATCCACCGACGCTAGCTGGGCTAGCTGAAGGGCTTCGAGAGACCGTATCGTCCTCGTAAGATGCGCGGAAACGGCACTAGCCCTCTGAAGCAGTACATGTAACGTATTAGCAGTGATATTTTGACGCCATAACGCATTATGAAACGCTTCACGTTCTGCGGACCTCATCACAAGGTGGGGTAGAAGCTCCTCTTGGATGATGTCTCGATGGACTGTGATAGCTGACGACGCATGAGTCAAGTCTGAGATCCATGCTGTAAGACACGCGAAGTTGTACTTCCACGGGTCTGTGGCATGCATGACCACCGAGAATTCACCCATGATCTGCACAGCATTGTCAAGCGTTGTACGTAGTAACCTAAACGAAGTAACAACCGCAAGTAGTGAGCGATAGTAGATGTGATCTTCTACTGTGCTCTGAGAGTTGAGGGCGGAGACCGGAATTGGATCGTCGCCGTCGGCGGGCGGCGTTGAGAGAAAGTTAAATACCATTCTCAATTGCACAGCCGTCAACTCCTCTACTAGTGTGAGAGGCTTGACGAAGAAACGATACTATTGGCCGTAACCGGCGGCAAGGGACTAACGTCGTGTGCCGTACGGTTGGGCTGTAAAGGTGTGCCCTGCCCTTGAACGAGTGACGGAGTATAAACTGTAGCGTGAGCTGCTCAGCATTTTCTACGATGTTTCGTACAGGCTGGCGCATCTTTAACGCTATATCACGAAGTACTTCTTACTGGCTCAACGTCTGAGTGCTCGGGTCGAACGTGAGTTGGACCGGCACATCTGACGGAGACGGTACGAGAAACGAAGTATCGTGCTCTGAAGGCACGGACGTAGTACGCGAGTCCGCCATAGCATTGTCCGTGAGCTTTTGACCAACTGGATCCGAAGATCCTTTAGGCTTTCGGTTTCACGAACGGTTTGCGAATGGTTTTCTCGCGGAACGTAGTAGCTGTCGGGGTGCTGTGCTCGACTGTTGCTGGGCTGCAGCAGGAGCATCAACCCGGGCCGCATCTTGCTAGCAACGAGTTATCCACTTCCATAGATTCAACAACTTCTGTTCTCGACGTACTACCTTCAGCCGGAGGCTGTGTGTCGCTGTCCTGCTGAGGTTGCGAAGCTCCTTGAACCATAGGCTCTGTGGAGCCTTGCGCATCCTCCGCCGGTGCAGTGGCACTCTGCTCTCCCTGCGAGGGCGACGAAGTAATGGCTACCGAGGAAGCAAATACACTGTTTAAAGAATCAACCTGAGCAGTGTCCTGGGTAGTAGTAGATTGCGAATCCTCGGCGCCAGACGAAGCAGGTTTCTTACATCCTCGACGAGTTGAACGTTTCTTAACCATAGTGGCTGACAGCAATAGTTCGAATAAACTATCCTGAAGATACGTAATAAAATTACAATGATACGGTATACGATAAAGATTAAGTAATAGAAAGAAGAATGGTAAACGACTGAGTAGGAGAACAACGATGACTGATGTGACCAGTCAATCGATAGCGCCTTGGGTCGCTATCCACGTGGCTGTTAGCACATGGGTCCCGCGGCGATAGTCTATGTACTGTCCCTGCCGGGTCAGACATAGAACTAACAATAATCCTACTCGACGGCTATGTGCGTAAACTCTCGTTGGAAAAAAGAATTTCGCACAACGTATTATGAAGGAACACTGTCCGATGAGGAAGGAGTACCCGATCTGGGTAAAGGAGTGGAGAGAAAAGAGGGGTATAAGGGCATAAAATAGGACTAGCGAAGTAGATAAGCTACTTCGAAAAGTAAAAGTGTTATGTTCGAAATGAATAAGTAGTTTTTGACTAGGGAAGGGATAAAATGGGAAAGTTAAAATCAAAATGTTTGTTGTGTGAAATTTAGTAGGAAAGGGAAAAAATGACTAGCTAAAGAGAGGAGAGAGAAAAGAACGACTAATTACACATGATATGAATGAAAGGGGGATTGTACTCATCGTGACCGTGTCCTCTTCACGGCACGCGGCGGTTGAATCCTTGTCGGTGTCGGTGTAGATGACCTTCTTGACGTCCTCGACTGAGATTCTTCCGTCGCGTCGTACGATTTGGAGTGAAGTTCCAACGGAATAAGCTGGTTGACGGAGCGATCTGTAAAGGTACTTTTACCTACTTTGACCCGTACAGATCGAAGTGCTCCGTCCCGCGATGTATTAGGCCTCGTGACGATGGCTAGCGGCCACATTACACGAGGCACGCTATATTGTGCGATGTACTACTCCACCAAGAGTGGGCCATGAACGCGAACTTTGCGCTCTTTTAGGTGCGCTTTGCGTGCGTTCCGCCAACGCCTGGAGGTAGTCTTTTCGCCACAAGGACCAAAAATGGTCTAACGTGTTAATGAGCTGCTCATGATGAGCTTTCAGGGACTGCTTAATCTCTGAATCGCTCAAAACGTAATAATGGAAGTCCGGACTGGTAGCGATTGGGGAAAGGAAATGTCCCAGATGATAATATGGACTAATGAGGTCTATTGGCCTCAAAACCGCTGATTCTCCGGTATCTTCCATATAAACGGCTGTTAACGGTCTGGTATTCAGCATTGCTTCGATCTCTAATAACAGAGTTTCGAAGGTGCGAATATCTAACGTATTACGACAAATCGTCTTCTTCAATGAACGCTTGACCATTCCGATGAGACGTTCATAAAATCCACCTTTCCATGGTGAAAGGGGGGTGATGAACTTCCATCGGAGCGGTGTTGACGAAATAAATTGACGGACTGCCTGATCATGTTGGATCCGAGGCAGCTCGTTAACCAGAATTTCACTGCCTAATTTGAAGGTAGGAGCATTATCACTGACAATAAGGTCAGGAGAACCTCTTCTGGCAACGAATCGTCGAAACGCTAACAGAAACTCTGTCGCCGAGTTGTTGTAAACCAACTCGAGGTGTAAAGCTCTGGTAGTCATACATGTGAATAGACATACCCAGACTTTACGAGTTTCTGACGAAGCGACCGTAACTAGATTAGGTCCGAAATAGTCAAGACCAATCCGCTGGAAAGGTCGACTACGGGTAACCCTTTCGATCGGAAGATCTGGAGGATTGGGGTACTTGTAGGGTCGTGCTTGTTGCCTCCTACACGGTACACATCCTCTGATCACCGAACGAACGGTCGCACGAATACGCGGTATGAAATACCTACGACGTAATACGCTGACTAACTGCTCTGTTCCCGCATGGAACAGAGTCTGGTGACATCTGTTGATGATCATAGTGGTCAGCAAATGATTCGGCGCGAGTAAAACGGGCTCGTCGACCGTACGTATTAGCTCAGCATTTCTCATCCGTGTAGCGACTCGGATCAGACCGGTATCGTCATGGTAGGTGAATTTGTTATTAACCGGACGCAAGCGCAATTGAACTGTACTCTCACGTTGATGTTCACGGAGAAGTAACAGCTCTGCAGCTCGAATGTCCTCACCTACGACTTCCGCATCTGATGAGACTGCCAAGGGTGGAATTACCTGGCCGAGACGTGCTTGACGATGAAGCGGAACTCGATCATATATTCGTTTCCGAAGAAACTTGAGTACGAGAGCCGCTATACGAAGTAACTTACGATAGTCATTGATCCTTTGGAATGGCAATACTGAACACTGATGTTCTTGCATAGACGAAAGAGAAGAAACTTAAACTCAGACTCCAATTCTGGAGTCGAGTTATGCAATTTGGTAAAGTTCATCGTTGAGTATGGCCATGTCGAGGGACATCTACGAACGTATTCAGGTCCAGTCCACCAAATGTGATCCGAGATCTGCTCAGCTGAGAGACCTCTGGTCGCACAATCCGCTGGATTGGACTCTGAAGCGACGTAATAAAACTTGGTCTCGATGTTACTCGAGGCAAGTTGTTTGAGAGCACTACGAATACGGTTTACGCGATTTGCGACAAACGGTGCGATCCGTATGGATCCAATACAACGCAATATGCGAATCCGAAAAGAATCGAACCGCCTGAACGACAATTTTCAACTCCTTAAGGAGGAATTGAGCTAGCGATACAGCTATATCGCAAGCCATCAATTCAAGGCGAGGAATCGTAGTCTCTTTGACAGGCGCTAAAACCTCGTCTTTGCCATAAGGAGATAAGATTGTGTAACCGAATTAGGGGCTCTACTCAGTAGGTAAGCTACGACGGAATACATTCGTGAAGAAGCATCTGCAAATAGCAGGAGCTCGTGTTGGGAGTGTTCATCTTTGTGTAAGATGAACCTGGGCACAGAGCAAGTGTACCCATCTATGCGATCTACGGTCTCCTGCCATCTGGCATAATACTTTCCACTGAATGGTGTATCCCACGAAGTTGTCTTTCCAAAGATCTTGAATAAAGATCTTGGCATCGACGAACAACGGAGTAAGGTACCCTAATGGGTCAAAATTGGACGCTACTGCTCGAAGAGCAGTGCGCATCGTATTAACTCGATGAAGAGCAAGCTGTACTCGGATGTGGATGGTATCCTGAGTTGGATTCCACTTCAATCCAAGCAGCTTGACTTCACTCGAGGCTGCTTTCATACGATCGTGTTCTGGAATGTGTTCCATTACACACGTATTATTGGACATGAATTCCCGAAGATTCATGCCCATACGATGGAAGGTTTGTTTGCATTGCCTCTGCTTTTCAATGCATTCCTCGGTGCTGTCAGCGCCGATGAGCACGTTGTCCACATAAGTATTTGCAAGCAACTCATCCCTTAACGTATTAAAATCATCCCGTTCGAGCGCGTATTTGATGGACATATTCAGCAAAAATGGCGAAACATTTATACCGAATACTACGCGAGTGAAACGGAAGATACGAATATTGTCCAAGGTAGGTGGACACGTAGTATCTCGTAACCACAAGAATCTCGTTGCGTCTCGCTGATCTTTCTGGAGACGAATCTGGTGGAAAGCTTTTTCCACATCAGCAATAACAAGGAACTGTGATAAACGAGAACGTAGTAATGCACCAGCAAGATCTGGTAGCAGTGTGGGTCCTTGATGCAAACAGTCATTAAGACTCGGTGAGTTCTTGCAATGACTGGAAGCATCGAAGACAATCCTCACTGCGGTAGTTGTGCTCTCAGCTTTCAGGACCGCTTGATGAGGCATATAATATACCTGGGGTCCATCAAACTCGAACTCAGCTACCTCTTCGATGATGCCAGATCTTTTCTGGTTCTGAAAAATAACGCAATATTGTTTCCATACATCTTCTAGATCACGAAGCGTATCGTATTGGTATTCCAAACGCCTTAGTGCGAGAAACTTGTTATCCGCTAACCGCGGATGATTCTTTTTCCACGCAAACTGTACGTGTATGATACCGTCGATAACTTGGACAGTATCGTAGAAACGCTGGACGACTTCGGTATTAACCTGCTCGTCCTGACCAGGACTCATACTATCTGTGATTCCCACGAATTCGAGATCCCAGAGCCGTGATATGTCAGGCTCAGTTTCTCCATCCTTCACACACGTTTGTAAACTTGACCTCGATGAAAATGTTGATTGAGCAGAAGATACGCGTGTGGAGGATGGATACTTCGACCCTGATGCTACTGGTCCGAACCGTGTGTGGATAAGCACACTCCCGAGACAGCGAAAAGTGCCTCGGCGGACGCGAGAGGCCACGATGCCCTGCTGGGTAGATAATACACCGGGCGCCCTGAATTAAGGCCACTTAGACTGAGACCCCTAAGGCAACTGGCTTGGCACGACACCATTACACATTTTTCCCTACTACAGGTGACCCTCTAAACTACAAGTCAATGGCTCATACGTAATATGGTGCTCCGAGAGCAACCCAAGCATCGTCAATATGATAAATCTTCGACAAAAACCAGAGGCGCCTTAAGGGCAACCAAAAAAGAGAACAAGGGACACCTTAAGGGTGACCAAAGACAATGGGAAATAAAATACAACGATGCTTAAAAACGTACTAGCTTAAAACCCCCACAGCGAAATACACAACACACCTAAGGTGCCTTAAGGCAACTCACAAAAGGCTAGGGAGCGTCTTAAGGACAACTCCAAAAACACTCTATCACACGAAGCGCCTTAAGGCCACTTCAAAGAAAAAGACTGAACTGCCAAAACGGTGTCGTTGTAGCTCGCCGCAACTTTCTTCTCCAGCTCCGATCCATCACCAACTCCTTCCCAATCAATCTCGACCAACGTGGGCTGGACTGCTCGATGTTGTCGTTGTCCTCGCACACGTCGTCATCATCGAACTCGTTTCATCGCCGAACTCGATCCTCGAACCACTCGCATCTCGACCGTCTTGACTGACATGCTCGAACCAACCATCTCGCTTGCCCATAACCAACTCGATCTGTCCGGCTTTTGCACTTTCGCTCGCTGGATGGATCGACTCGAACCTAAACGAAGTAAAAGGGGGTGCACACCAAAAGGCGTGCTTTAGCAACGTAATAAACCACAGACATCTACACTGAGTCAAATAAGCTTTGACAAACTTACCTGAAGTGAGCTGCCTGTGGACGGAATAGAACACAGCTAAGAACGCACTAACCTGAAACACGCATTAACCAACTTACCTATAGCGAACTTACCTGTGTACGTAATAGACCAGGGTCAAACCGCACTGGCCACGTAATAGCGGGGACAACTCCTTCCCTCAACGGATTAGGGAAAATCACTTACTATCCCAACGTAGTAGCGGGGAGCCACTTCCCGCACGTAGTATGAGGTGCACTCACCTCAGCGCCTTTCCCTCGCGGTCGAGGGTCCTCTCGAAGGTCTTCTGGAGGGCCTCGCCCGCGGCAATTCATGCGGCTGGCGCTGACTGCGATGTGGTGGAACCTCTCGATATGATGCATCCGCGACACTTCGATAGAATCGCTGTGCCATCATATCGATGTCGTTAACGATAAAGATGTTTCTTACACAGATTGCTTGATGGTGATCCAGCTCTCCGCATAGTCCACATCCATCGGCACGGATGCACTGTCCATAGTGTCTATGCAGACACACGGTACAGTATCCGGCTCTTACGGAGAGGTTTGCCCTCACGCTAAGGTGCCTATACCTGTCACATTCGGCCGAAAAATGGTCCGTGGATGAACAGAAGACACAGGGTGGCTGCCCTGGTGGTGGAATTGTTTGCCTTGGCAGTGGTGGCAGTCCTCGCCTTCTGTTCTCCTGTGCAGGTGGCTCCTCGTACGTAATACTGGAGCTCGACTGCGAGGAATACTCGCGTCGTGCTCTCACATCGACTTCTTCACGCGAGTCTTGGCTTACCGCTCGCTTCCTCTTCCTGCCGCGACGTCCTCGCGGGATCTGGATCTGGACCCTGGGGTCCAGCCTCCCCACTTTGCGAAAACTCGCCCAGGGCGAGGTGGCGGCGCAGCCGAAGGTTCACGTGGAACGGGTGGAGCGGCGTCCGTGACGCTGGTCCCTGACGAAGTACTGGTGACTCTTTTGTCGCAACCCATCCCGATTTGAATTTTGGTTTCTCGGGGGTTGACCAGCTGACGTAGTAGGTGCAGGGGCTCGAGACGTAGATGCTGACGGACCTGGACCGTCCAGTATACGTCGAGTCTCTGCAAGCACTCTTTGACGAAATAGGGCGTTAGACTGGCTATGAAACTGCTCAGTTAGTGTTCCCTCCACCACTGGAGATATGTCGCAACGCTTTGTTCCGAAAATTCTCCAGGTGGATTCGTTTGATAATCCGCTACGAGATGACGCGATCCCTCGTCACCCACCGACGCTAGCTGGGCTAGCTGAAGGGCTTCGAGAGACCGTATCGTCCTCGTGAGATGCGCGGAAACGGCACTAGCTCTCTGAACAGTACATGTAACGTATTAGCAGTAATATTTTGAACGCATTAACGCATTGAAACGCTTCACGTTCTGAAGACCTCATCACAAGGTGGGGTAGAGCTCCTCTTGGATGATGTCTCGATGAACTGTGATAGCTGTCGACGCATGAGTCAATTCTGAGATCCATGCCGTAAACGCCGAAGTTGTACTTCCACGGGTCTGTGGCATGCATGACCACTGAGAATTCACCCATGATCTGCACAGCATTATCAAGCGTTAAACGTAGTAACTTAAACGAAGTAACAACGCGCAAAGTATGAGCGATAGTAGATGTGATCTTCTGCTGTGCTCTGAGAGTTGAGGGCGGAGACCGGAATTGGATCGTCGCCGTCGGCTGGCGGCGTTGAGAGAAAGTTAACACCATTCTCAACTGCACAGCCGTCAACTCCTCTACAGTATTGAGGTTGACGAAGAACGAACTATTGGCGTAACCGGCGCAAGGGACTAACGTCATGTGCCGTACGGTTGGCTGTAAAGGTGTGCCCTGCCCTTGAACGAGTGACGAAGTTATAAACCTGTAGCGTGAGCTGCTCAGCATTCCTACGATGTTTCTCGTAGGCCTGGCGCATCTTTTAACGCTACATCACGAAGTACTTCTTTATACTGGCTCAACGTCTGAGTGCTCGGGTCGAACGTGAGTTGGACCGGCACATCTGACGGAGACGGTACAAGAAACGAAGTATCGTGCTCTGAAGGCACGGACGTAGTACGCGAGTCCGCCATAGCATTGTCCGTGAGCTTTTGACCACTGGATCCGAAGATCCTTTAGGCTTCGGCTTCACGAACGGTGTGCGAATGGTTTTCTCGCGGAACGTAGTAACTGTCGGGGTGCTCGACTGTTGCTGGGGCTGCAGCAGAGGATCAACCCGGGCCGCATCTTGTGCTGGCAACGAATTATCCACTTCCATAGATTCACAACTTCTGTTCTCGACGTACTATCTTCAGCCGGAGGCTGTGTGTCGCTGTCCTGCTGAGGCTGCGAAGCTCCTTGAACCGTAGGCTCTGTGGAGTCTTGCGCATCCTCCGCCGGTGCAGTGGCACTCTGCTCTCCCTGCGAAGACGACGTAGTAATGGCTACCGAGGAAGCAAATACACTGTTTAAAGAATCAACCTGAACGGTGTCCTGAGTAGCAGTAGATTGCGAATCCTCGGCGCCAGACGATGCGGATTTCTTAGATCCTCGACGAGTTGAATGTTTCTTGACCATAGTGGCTAACAGCAATAGTTCGAATAAACTATCCTGAAGATACGTAATAGAGTTACGATGATACGGTATACGATAAAGATTGAGTGAAGAAAGAAAATGATAAACGACTGAGTAGGAAAACACGATGACTGATGTGACCAGTCAATCGATAGCGCCTGGGTCGCTATCCACGTGGCTGTTAGCACATGGGTCCCGCGGCGATAGTCTATGTACTGTCCCTGCCGGGTCAGACATAGAACTAACAATAATCCTACTGAACGGCTATGTGCGTAAACTCTCGTTAGAACAGAAAGTTTCGCACAACGTATTATAAAGAACGCTGTCGATGAGGAAAAAGTACCAATCAGGGCAAAGGGGTGGAAAAGAAGGGTATAAAAGCGTAAAATAATAACTAAAGGGGCAAGTAAGCTATTTCGAATGAAAAAATGTTATATTCAAAATAAATAAATGGTTTTGACTAGGGAAGGAACAAAATGGAAAAGTTAAGATCAAAATGTTTACTGTATGAAATTTACTAGAGAAGGGAGAAAATGACTAGCTAAAGAGAGGAGAGAGAGAAAGAATGACTAACTATACAGGAAATGAATGAAAGGGGATTTGTACTCATCGTGACCGTGTCCTTTTCACGGCACGCGGCGGTTGAATCCTTGTCGGTGTCGGTGTAGATGACCTTCTTGACATCCTCGACTGAGATTCTTCCGTCGCGTCGTACGATTTGGAGTGAAGCTCCAACGGAATAAGCTGGTTGACGGAGCGATCTGTAAAGGTATTTTTACCTACTTTGACCCGTACAGATCGGAGTGCTCCGTCCCGCGATGTATTAAGTCTCGTGACAATGGCTAGCGGCCACATTACACGAGGCACGCTATCCTGTGCGATAAGTACTACTTCACCAAGAGTGGGCCACGAACACGAACTTTGCGCTTTTTTAGATTGCGCTTTGTGTGCGTTCCGCCAACGCCTTGGAGGTAGTCCTTTCGCCACCAGGACCAAAAGTAGTCTAACGTATTAATGAGCTGCTCATGGTGAGCTTTCAAGGACTGCTTCGTCTCTGAATCGCTCAAAACGTAATAATGGAAGTCCGGATTAGTAGCGATTGGGGAAGAAAATGTCCCAGATGATAATATGGACTAATGAGGTCTATTGGCCTCAAAACCGCTGATTCTCCGGTATCTTCCATGTAAACGGCTGTTAACGGTCTGGTATTCAGCATTGCTTCGATCTCTAATAACAGAGTTTCGAAGGGTGCGAATATCTAACGTATTACGACAAATCGTCTTCTTCAATGAACGCTTGACCATTCCGATGAGACGTTCATAAAACCACCTTTCCATGGTGAAAGGGGAGTGATGAACTTCCATCGGAGCGGTGTTGACGAAATAAATTGACGGACTGCCTGATCATGTTGGATCCGAGGCAGCTCGTTAACCAGAATTTCACTGCCTAATTTGAAGTAGGAGCATTATCACTGACAATAAGGTCAGGAGAACCTCTTCTGGCAACGAATCGTCGAAACGCTATAGAAACTCTGTCGCCGAGTTGTTGTAAACCAACTCGAGGTGTAAAGCTCTGGTAGTCATACATGTGAAAGAGACATACCCAGACTTTACGAGTTTCTGACGAAGCGACCGTAACTAGATTAGGTCCGAAATAGTCAAGACCAATCCGCTGGAAAGGTCGACTACGGTAACCCTTTCGATCGAGAATCTGGAGGATGGGGTACTTGTAGGGTCGTGCTTGTTGCCTCCTCTATACGTAGTAACTCACCATTGCCTCTGATCTCCCTCGGCCAATTCACTCAAGGGCAGACCAGGCCAGCTGACTATACGTAGTAGACCCCCATGCGCTCGGATGTTACACTTCTAGGGGGCCCGCACGGTCAGCGGCTCCGAAACGGGGCGCGATACCAGGCTGCTCCCAGACGGGGAGCAGGGGAGGGACCACGACCAGTTAACGGGTGGCGCTCCGCAACCTTCCAGCTCGGAGGGGACATCCCTCCTCGCCTTCCGGGGCCTCCTCGCGTTGCCCGGTGAACACCGACCAACCCCTGGATACCAGCACTGGGACACGTATTAGACACTTCATCATTAGCACCTCAACTGCTAGGGGGCTCAACGCCATTCAATACACTCACCTGACAGCTAGGTAGACATAGGAGACGTCCGAGGCAAGGCAGGTCACCGCTCGCCGTAAGGCACACACGACGACTGCCCGCTGGCACTGACCGTAGGGGGCGGAGCCAATGACGCAAGGAGCGCATTGCGCGGCGCATTGCGCATTGGCATCCGAGCGCGAATGGGCCGGGGCGCGCGGTGCGCCCACGGGCCACCGTCGCATCCGCGACACCCTTAAACAACCTAGACTGATGAGAAGAAGCCTATCTTTGGTTACTTGGGTGGATCTCGTTGTAAAGAAGGGATCTTCGTCGTGACGCGCAGCTGTACTCAAAGAAACATTTCGGAGGAGGCTCATCAATTGTCTGGGGTGATTTCAAAACAAGTGGAAAATTGGAGATTGGCTTGCCAGCATGTCAGGTAGACAATCAGGTTCACAAAGAGATGCACGGATCCCGACTTACACTTCGAGAATTACGGTCACAAAACACATGTTTTGCAGCAAACCTAATGGGGGTCCCCCACACGTATTCCGAGGCAAACGCGAGGGTTACGGGTGCTGGATTGGCTGCGCATTCCTCAACCACATCTATATTAAAAATGTGGTGGGATAGTGTTCACTGTTTCTGCACCATTAAAGACAAAGTAGTTCCCCAAGTGACCTGACGTTGCTGAAATTTGCTGCTTGGGAGGAATCGGCGATATCGGGAGCCTAGTTCAGAACATGCCGAACAAAACGATTGAGCTTATCAGAATCTTTGGTGGGCCTACCAGTCTTTGATTCTACAGATATTTCTGTTTTTCGAAAAGTGTCCACATACTTTGGTGTCCACATACTTTGGATACAGGAAAAGCAGGGGAAAGTTTTTCCATTAATTGAAAATTTAAATTTGCATATAAAGCGGTAAGAAATGAAAAAAAAATCCGAGGTCATCCTTATCTGTAAATCGAGTGTTGGCGGCCTCATTGTGCGAAGTCAACAGTTCCTCAGAGCAGGGTCAACCCTATCGTCGTTACTCTTTGGAAATTTTTTACGACCTCCCCCCCCCCTTCATGGGTGATTTGATACGACCCCCTCTTGTATGTAACACTTGTGTAGAGGCAGTGTTGCCATAACTATTTATTGCTACGTAAGTCCCTAGCCTCGTGACGGTGGAGCGCATTTGCTCACGGTCAAGAGGCGTCGAACGGGGAGTGTGAAAATTCGAGTTTTTCTTTTTTACATTTCAGGTAGTTTGGGAGATTCAGGTGGATTTTGGATCGATGTGGCTCCTCCTTCCTGAAGAGTGCTCATTTGTTCTCAAACACTCCGGAATGAATAAGTTATTAGGCAAAAAATTAAAAATTGAAACACGATTTTTACACTCTTCTTTCTAGGGCTATAACCTCCTTCATATTCGAGCTTCTGCGCCGAAGTGATTTGATTTGGAAAACTCAAATTATTCTCTCTCCAACCATGTAATTCGTAAGTCAATTTACTAAAAATTTAGTACGTTGTTACTTTTTTCTGTGCAAGTGCGACTTTTTGACTTTAAACGATCATAACTTCCTTCAAAGTCATTCATTTGAGAAGCTAACAGGTATAATGAACTACAGGATTCATGCTTTCTGACGAACACCTAAGCGTTCCTGAGAGATCAGTAGTTCAAAAGTTGGTCCCGTTGTTTACTTTTTGGTGGGGTTTCATTACTATTTTTTCGAACCGCGACTTTTTTACCTTCAAAACGATCATAACTTCCTTAAAAGTCATTCACTTTGGGAAGTTGAACACGGTGTAATAAACTACAGGTTTCATGCTTTCTAACGAGCGCCAAGACGTTCCTGAAGGTCGAGCAGTTCCAAAAATTAGTCCCGTTGTTACTTTTATTTTTGGCGGGGTATTCTTCGAGCCATTTTCTCGAAAACGGCGAGTTTTCTTTAGGTTTCACTGCCCGTAAATTCTTGGAAGACCAATTTTATGTTCAATTTAGGATGTGCTAGAAAGCTCCGAGCATGCCCATGCACTACATCCTTGCCTTGGTTCGCGCCACGCATCGGGCGCCCTACTAATTCGCTGATATCATTCGAAAGGCTTCATTTAGAGGGAAGCGTTGTTTATAAATGCTCTAGTACCAGACATCTTACGAAAACGTAACGTGCTGGCTATTATCCGATATTATTAAGAATCCCACTGCCGGCCACCGAGAGGGTACGACCCCCCCGTTGTTACTCGTAACAACGTAGGGTTGACCCTGCCTCAGAGTAGGAGAAATTTTTATGGTGTCCACAAACTTTTGGTACGCGCTGTATTGCAACAACATAATATGAATATAATAAACATCTAACACATGCCGTGTCTCCCATTATCTATTCTCAGAAACCCAGTATTGATGTGCTCGTTCCCTTGCTCCAGTTGGAGTTAAGTAATCAGTGCAGTACCACTAACCATCCCCTCAGCCTAGCCTCTCCCTGCTCCTACAGTGAGAGTGACCCACACAATGTAGCCGTCAGATTCTTATAGCGTTGTATTCATGAGTCGCATATGTTATGGTAATTACACAATTGAACTGTCACAAAGCGAATTTCTTGAAAAAAAGTAGCTATTTGTTGGTAAGAATCAAGGGCTATTTTAACCCATAACGGACGGCGTGCGCCACAAGGTGGCGCATGACTATTGCTTTTGTTTTTGGAATGTTTCTAGCAGTCTTAATCTACCCATATGTACTCTAAGCAATGTGGAATAACATATCTTCCCAGGACCTGGACGGCTGGATTTTTGACAAACCTACAAGAAATTTTACATACATTTTGTCTTAATTTACATAAGTTTACTATTTGATGGGTGGCTTAGCCATGGTTCACACGTCCCGCGACCCCTTCCCCTAAATACAGCCACATCTTTGCTCGGGGTTGTTGTTTCGCATTTTTCGATAATGTCACCTACAGCTTCCATTCATTCTTTGCACCCTAGTTTTAGAGCGGAAAGGCGGGCTATGAACTTGTCGCCAACGGAAATCTCTTTTTTTCAGATGATGTGACTCCGACACCTACTTTAGCCCCGTCTTACCCCTGCTGTTCACATAGGCCTACATAACCCTACCCTGGGTGCCGGCGTGCGCCACATGGTGGCGCACGCGAGAAATACACTGGCCGTCCGTTAAGGGTTAAGAAATATTACAGAGCTTGCTTCAGTAAATTCAACGCGATTCAAATCAGTGTGATGAAAAGCAAGGACTAAGGTTTCAATGGTATAGCTAACTGCAAGAGTTGTCAGACCAAATTTCCAAGTAAAATACAGTCGCCATACAATTTGTTGGTAAGAGCCAGAAGCTATTTTGAATAACATCACAGAGCTTCCTCCGGTAAATTCAACGTGATTAAAGCCAGTGCGAATGTAAATGAAAAACATTTCATGCAAAACACATAGGGTTTTTAGCTGAACCTGCTCAAAGGTATTATTCAGTGGTAAAGCACAGAAGTAGATGATTTATTTCGCAGATTGCTCGGAGCGAAACAAACAACGATAACCAACAAAGTTACTTTGGCTACCTGCTCTATACGTTCTCTCTATACTAGACACTTCCTTACCAATCAATACATTAAAGAAGAAAGTTCTTATTATCTACACTTCTATCGATCCACCTCTCCGAACACGATATCCAGAGTTCCAATCACAGCTACAACGTCGGCGATCAGTGACATGTAGCAAATATCGTGAATAGCAGCCAAGTGAGCGAATCCAGGAGCACGAATGTAACACCTTAGAAAAAAGTCTATCATTTATACGCAAAAAAAATCGACATGAGATATTATGAAGTCGTGTTCAAGTTCTTCTGACTATAGGCAGCCCAATCAATAGCATTATAAATACTGAAACTTGCCCATCGTTTATATCTCAAATATTTCCAACGAAATTTTTGCTCGGGTTACTCATAAAGAGGGACACCTTATACTTCTCCGAAAAAAATTAATGAAACATGATTATTGTTTCGGCTCAGTAAAGTTCACACTGAATCTGCAACAAAGGAATGAACGTATAGGATCGGGTTTCGATAAGTGAGAAAAACGAAACATTCGATCGTCACAGTTGGATGGCAAAAGAAGATATTCCGGGTGATCCCAGAATTCCCGACCGATTTCCGTCTCAGTTCACATTTTAGTTCTGATTAGTGTCATCACGAAAACTTGTGTATGTTGACAGATGGTCAAGGGCGCTGCGGAACAATCAACTGAGAACCGAAATAGATTCACTATAGAGCGTTATGTTCTACGGACATAAAAAGGAGAATTTTCTAAGGAGGCCAGTAGAGAAAATCATCATTGTGTTCTACTCTCTTCTACTGGTAATGAGCTACTACCGAATCACATGTACCGGTAAAGACGATCCTGCGCCTCCAGACACTCTCCAAGGCGCCATGAATTGATGCACTATCATCTGCCGTCCGAATAATGGGCCGAAACAAATAAAGTCTCAACAGTTACCACATGTATGCATCGACCCACTACGACCGAAGAGGACACGTGACTTGTAGCGGAAGCCTTCTTCTGCGACCGCATTGAAGAGATATTCACTAGTTCATTGCCATTGTGGCTAACAATAAGTCATGGGTCTGCTGTTACAACAACACGCACCAAGGCTAATGGCTGCATTGCAGCCAAGTCCACCAGCTCAACCGTAGCCCAAGCTCAATGTTCAGGAGATACTACTCCCGGCTTTGAACTGGGTGGGTATGCTGCTTCGAGAACTACTTCAGTTTATTAGACAGCATTGCGGAGGTTAGAATTGATTCTTTTCCGGCAATGCTCTCGAGGTGGCCGCAGCAGTGCGGAAGAACATCGAAACGTCACTGAATCTCCTTTGCCCAAATAAACGCCCGATCCCACATCGCAAAGCCAACCCGCCACGTTCTGAGGGAAATGGGTTAGACCACGATACCACATTTACAGCTCAGCCATTAGTCCATTAGGCAATCACCTAGTAGACGCCCTGAAACAGCAGATTCGAGAGAAAAGTCTCCAAAAGATCCCTTCGAATTCCTCAACCTCCAGTTATGGCTACAGTTATTTTGCAAGCATGCAGTCGAAAGGTCCCTGGGAAATGGATGCAAAGCAGCACTGATTATGATGGCGGTTATGTTTTTGAGCAGTTCATTCATAAAAGAAATCAATTTAGGTGAAACACGTGTCGAAATGCGTGTAAAATGTGGGACAACTTATTAGATGTCAGCCTATCGTGTATTCGGAACCGGATGGACAATTGTCATTGAGATCTACCGTCAATAATCGGGTTGAAGAAATGGAAATGGAGAAATGGACACAGGGTAGAAAAAATAATTGAATAACATAAAATAATAAGAAATAGTAAGTTCAGGACTTCGCTGTCCACGCTCTGCACTATTGCTAAAATGCTTAGAAGGCAGAAAAATTAACGACTCATACTGCAGTAAAACAAAAAATAAAACAAACTAGAACCATAGTATTACCGATACGGTTTGCTTGTACCATCGGCAACAAGATAGACTCCAAATTCTCCTTTGGGTGCCTCGATAGGCACGTACGTAGCTCCTGGTGGGACTTGATACCCTTCCGTGAAGAACTTGAAATGATGAATAAGAGATTCCATAGAGTCCTGAAGATACCACGTATATTACTGCTGATATGAAGTAGTCCAACATAAAAAAGAACAGTAATCTTTTACCTTCATCTCAGCTCGTTTAGGTGGAACAATTTTATGGTCATCTACTTTAACCTCGCCTGCAGGCATTTTGTTCAAGCACTGAAGAATGATGCTAAGCGACTGTCGCATCTCTTCTATACGGCACAAATATCTATAACACAGTTTAACTAGTATAAGCTCTTAGACGTGTTAACATTACAAACCTGTCATAGCAATCACCCTTCGTACCAATGGGAACGTCGAACTCCATCTGGTCATAAACTTCATACGGTTGCGTCTTGCGAACATCCTGTTTTATACCTGATCCACGTACCATCACTCCAGTGAAGCCCCAGTTCAACGCATCCGCGGCAGAAACGAGCCCTAGCAACATTCATATCGAAATTCGAACAAGACAAAGAGGATGAAACCTACCTATATCCACAGTTCTTGCCTTCCAAATTCTATTTTCCGTCAACATGTCCTCTAACTCATCTATTCTCTCCGGGAACTGAAAAAGGAAAGCAAAACAGTCGAGCACTGAAATACCCAACTCCGTTTACAGTTCCGAGAGCTCGCAACTCAACGCTGGTTAAACTTCGAAAGAAGGAAAATTACAGATAATAATTGAGAATTGTGCGCCACACTTTCTAAGAAAAACTATTTCTCTACTGAAATACAGACTAAACCGTTTCGCTCCACAGAAAGACTGCACTAACCACTACCACATTTTAACAGCACATTTTACAGCACTAACTTCTTTCAAGAGAAACTTTGTTTTTTTTTGACTCAAGACAGCACGTGATCCGCAGATTGTCTCGCATTTTGGTGATCACGAGAGCTGTGGGAGGAATAGTGTAGGAAAACGAAAATATACAGCCAAGAGAGTACGATCCAATGCTATTTAAATCGGCGACCTTTTCAAACTCCAAATTGCATGGCTTTCCAGAACTTGATATGAAACAGAAGTACCTTTACAGCCCAGTCATAAATGTCATCCATGAGGCCGATTGGTAGATCCCATGCTACTCCTCCAGGACGGATGTAGTTCACATGCATTCGAGCTCCAGAGGCCCGCTCAGAAAACTCGAACTATTTTTTCTCGTTCTGCAAACATTTCATATCAATATAACTGAACAAATACTTGAAACAAGTCGAGCTCAAAAGCTAAAAGCTGCTGCAACAGAGCGAGTCATCCCATTCATAACTGGCATGCTAATAGGTACTTGGGGCACGGTTCGAGCTACGAACGGGGTCCACGACGAATGGTAGAAATTAAGTCCACATGAAAGGTGGTCGGAAGGTGTCTTCCATACGCCAAGCTAAGTCCTTGAGAAGTTATCCACCTTAAACTGATTGAAAGAATTACGCAGCAGCTTCAGAACAGGAGCGATTACGGTAGTCTCTTTAAGCATGACGGCGATGGCGGAAAACGTCATATTCTGAAGACGGTTGGGGCAGTGGCGGAGGGCGTGACGTGGGAGGACATCTACGGAATGTTTTGCCTTACAGCTTTCAACAACAGCTGCACCTGGCGCAACGAAAAGTTTGCTGATTTGACTCATGGGCAAAGTGGCTATTTTTGATCGTTGTAGTAGCACTATTTAGGTGCCATACTACCAGTGAAAACTAAGCTACTATATGATAGGCAGGGCAACAGAATTTTTTCAAAAAAGTCAGTAGAATGTTACAATGGCATTGCCGGCAACGTGTCCAAAGCTTCTATCTTCAAGACCATCGAAAAAAAGTAAGCGTCATAATGAACCACCTTCGAACATCCAGAAGAATGGTGTCATCGCACCGATGTCGAGGGCATGTGTAGTTATTCCCATTACGTGATTTTGGATTCTCGTGAGCTCAGCCATCAATGCTGAATGCAGAATAAATTCAAGACTTGACATTCATGCACTACTTCATCGAGGCAACAATGTAAACTTACTTCGAATATACTTTGCTCGTGGTGGAATGTCAATGCCCAATAACTTTTCAACTGCAAGTGAGAAACCTTGCTCATTACACATCATTGACACATAATCCAGTCGATCGAAATATGGCAAAGCCTAGAACACATTCAAGAGTCGAACAATTTCCAACAGTGACAAGCTAGGCAAATGAAAAATGACACCAAAGTGCTGCCTCAATTTCCAATCCGAGTTCCTATCAGCGAATGTACACTGATGAAAATTATCGAAAACCAAGAATCAACCATTGTTCACGTGAACACATACGGGCGTGGTTCACTAGGACAAAAAACGACTTTTTCGCACTCCGGAATGCGAAACATTTCTTGCTGCGGGATTCTTGGGTCATCTGAGATCAGCGGTGGACCTGAGGAGCCCGCAGCGAGAACTGCTCCGCGCTCGAATTGCGAACAGTCGTTTCTACCCTACTGAACCTCAACCCAGAGATACATATACAAGTCTAACACACCTGCGTATACGTTTTATGTTCAATGAGCTTCTCCGTAGCACGATGAAGCAACCCAATGTGGGGCATTGCCTTTATGATTACCTGAATATTAGAAGTAATTTTTAAACCTACAGACCCCATTTTATTGATCGCGTTGACTTGAAAAAAGCTTAGCCAAAAATCAAGAATTTACTTCTCCTTCCAACTTCAACACAAGACGAAGCACTCCGTGAGCTGCTGGATGTTGAGGACCAAAATTCAGAATCATATTTTCAAGTTCCTTTTCACTAAAAACATTATGCGCTTGATATGAGCTTCACGAGATTTCTAATGTACTTTAGTAAGATAATGAGCTTGCAATAATTGGCTAAAAACTATTCTCCAACGCACCGATGTTTGCCTTGATAGTCATCAGCAAATACAGGCGATGAATATGCTAACTTCTCAAGCTTCTCTAATCCAATAGCCTTATCGAATTCCTCATAATGGTCACATGTCCACATTCTACCAATACTTGTGTTCTAAACTCTGCACATAGTAATGAAAAAGACACATGATCAACTAATTTTCTCGAGAACTGAAAGAAATTGTGGGATGTCACAGATCCACATATGATGGTTGATTCAGTTGGTAGTCTCCGGTATTCGACTCTCAACGCGAAAGTAAAATAAAACACACGCACCTTAAATTGTCTTTCAAACTTTGCATCTGGATACCAGATTGTGTGCGAGCCCCGCTGAGCAAGCAGCGCCTGTGAGGCACCGGCGACTCGGCAGCACAACCCAGCAACTTTACTGCCGAGCATTGCTCCGACTGAAGGCAGCATGTTGAAGCAATGCATAAAGTGAACAAGAAGAAGTCATGACGTATGAGATAAGATGATTTACTACATTTTTTTTACTTGAGAAAAAGCATAAACAACAAACATTTATTCCCAACTCATGTCATCGACAGGTATATAGGGAGACAAAATAGCACGAACTTTAAGAACAGATCTACTTATAGGAGATCTAGCACTTTGAATGCTATTGAAATACAACGATGATACACGAATACCCTTACCCGAGGTGCATGAGGTGGAACAAAAACAAAAAAGAACGGCAAATAGAGACAATCGCGGAAAAAGAAATTTAGAGGATCGGTAAATCGACGATTCACTTGCGTCCAATCTTAGCCGCCTTGCCCTTCTTCGCCAAACCTGAAACCGTTTCGTTGATAAACTGACACGAATTTATGCTAGCAGCAGTTTGGTATTAACCAGCCACCAAACTGTTGCTAGTGTAAAGATGAACATTGCAATAAAGGAGCGCTTGTACTACTTGGTAGTCCACGCCTACATATGCTCATATAGACGGATACCCTCTACTATATGAGCTTCTAAATAGTTTTGTGTGCTGATTATCTGTCGGTATACCGTCCTCTCGGTACTTTCGAAAAATGATAAGGGAGCTGTTGAGAGTATGCAACAGCTTTCAAAACTAGGAGGCCTGCAGGTCTTGCAATAATGTTGCCTACTATTGTACTTGTACACTTCGACTGCTACACACTTCGACTGCTACAAGCAATCGACATTTTACGGAGGGAGGGTATCGGCGATGGTTTGTTTTCCGTAAAAGGGCACGTGCGAAACGGAAGACGAACAATTTCTTTGAAAAACACCCCTTTAATCAAGTTTTGTTTCATTCTTTGTGTAAATTCATTAAGATTTGTTTCATGAATACGATATTTTCGGTCATTTCACAAAGATTCGTAGTAGCACTTGAATGGGAGGGGGAGGGGTGATCGGCCACTAGTCAACCACATACAAAACAAGGAACAAACGATGTTGAGGTATCAATCAAAGGGGATATTGTAATTGTTATAAAGCCGTCTTCTTCTCTTATGCACGCACACCCCTCAGGGCGTACGCAACTTTCAAAAGATTTTGACCCTAACACGCTGACGGCATCGCGCGTTTTGTGTGTTTGCACTGCGTGGGACCAGAGCGATTTTGCGAGACGATTTTGCGCACACCAAAACCATGGATTTTGAGCTGCAAATACGCAATCCTTGAATGCGATGAAGTGTTTTCAATGATGTTCGCTCCGTCTAGCTTATCGGGAGTTACAGTAATGGAACTTCGACCGAAAGGACATGTTAAGGCCGTGAAAAAGCAAATTTTACTCACTTTCCTTTTAATGGTTCCAAAATCAATTTAGACGTGGTTGTAAAAAAAAGAACACATATCTTCCCATACGGATAGTTTTGTATTCGTCTCTACTATTCCTTTTTGCCAATATGCTTACGCTAATGAAAAGAAAACAAGGAATGAACTGATTAGACATATCTGTAAGGTCTGGAAAACCTCTGCCGAACTAAAAAATTTTGGCCTTTCTCCGAGCCATGTGTTTTTTAGGTATGCTAATGTATGACCTATAGAATGAGTACAAAGATCTTAGGAATAAGTCGCACAAGCGCAAGAAAAAGGGATGACCGGGTGGGACGCGTTAACGCGTCGCAATGTCCCACGAGGTGCGCAAAGTTAGACGCGTACCGCGTCACGCTGTCGTCAACGTGTTAAGGGATGAGCTAAGCGGACGACGAATATGTAAACTGAATAAAAACGCTGGTAGATAATAAAAATGGCGCACCAGATGCGCATACGGCAGCTACGTTGCACCCCATCGAATCGTTATCATAAAACTGAGAATACTAATTCAGCCTTGATTCCTTGATTAAAACCAAAACAGTTCACGAAGTTATAGAACGCACGCGGAAACACTAACGGGAAAATTGACCCTAACGAGTTGATACACAGCTCACATGAGCAACTCCTTCACACGACATGTTCTTACATAAAATTCATATGCAGAATTTGGGTGATTTCTAATAAGTCAATGGTTTTATCCTTCCGAATAAGTCTGGTAAGAACTCACCTGTACCATACGGTTCGAAGACAAGTATGGCCCCAGGGAGCGCACAGAATTCGCTCCAATTTTTATTGAGCAAGTCGCAGGGTTAAGAAAGTTTCGAGGGAAGACGCTATAAATGCTGTGATATTAGGTTTAGCATGCATCATCACAAGTCGAACAAACGGGATAGGTATCATCCACTACAATTGTACCGATATAACACTGCATTCGTTAAAAAGGATGTACGGTTTGAGCGCAAGGGAACGGTATCTCCTGCTCAGGATTAACTCCAGCCGTACAGTGATCAACGCTCCACAGAACTGTTTGTGTAGCATGCTGATAGGATGCGAGGTCCACCATGGTGTTTTTTTTGTCTGTAGCTTTCACCCTGTGTCGTTTCCAGTGAAAACAAAACCTACCAGTCTTTTGCTGTTTCTGTTCCATGTCCTCATGCTCGTGCTTCTCCACGTCCTTCTGCTGCTTCTTCTCCATGTCCTCCTGCTGCTTCTTATCCGCGTCTTCCTGCTCTTTCTTCTCCGCATTGTCGTTCACCGGTTTTGCTGGACGACGCTAAAATGCAGTTAAAACGCAAATGGAGCAGGAAAAAGTAAGCGAGCAACCTTTTTCATTGCCCCCAAATAATAACTTACACCATAGGGCTTGCGAGCGGTAGGAGTAGAGCGTGGGAGTCCAGTGTCCTCAACAAATGGCGCGACTCTGACCTGAACAATAGTTTACGACTACACTTGTCATCCATGGCATTCTCGCATTACAAACAAGGACGCACTTTTTTGGCAGGAACAGCCGAAACAGGCGTCGCCTCCGATCTCGAAAGCAGTCTCGCACTGCGGCGCAGAGGCATCGCTAGAAACAAAAAGCAACAATGAAACATAGCAAAAGGGATAGACTCAAGCAGTAGCACCTGGAGTTTCAGATGCCTCTTGACGTGTCCCCTTCTTGGGGCGCAGTTTGCCCTTAGATGCTTTTGCATTCTGCTTATCAACATCATTGAATGCACCACCCGAGGTGTTTTCTTTCGCATCATCATGGATAACATCATCGGCAGAACCGACATCCTTGCCATCTTTCACATCCTCGACCTGCAACAGTACTCAGAACGTGGAAATAATATTTCGTACAATGAGTGAGTATCACTCCTAACCTCCATCACCGCCACTGGACTACCGCTGTGTACGTCACCACCGTCTTCGCCAGGAGCGTTTCCCACAGTTACCTCAGTGTTCTCTGGCGCCACAGCCTTCTCATCCTGCTTCTTAACTAGCAACGTTAAGTCGGTAACTACAAAAATATTAATGAGAACAAAGTGATGTATAAGCAGATGAAACCTTGTCACGATCCGGTTCACCAAACTCTTCAGACAAATACTTGGGGGCGCCTGCGTCACCAGTGACTGCCACGCTCTCTAACTTCTGCAATAGGCTACAATATGGTGGAAGGTTCCTGGGAAATAAATTTCATACGATTGACTTTACCATGAAGAGTCCAACACACAAAATAGTACTTATATAAAACAAACCTCCGAATTGGCCTGGTCATCCATTTTGGGCTCCGATGAGATATTCTCCAAGGAATTAATTGCAGGACATTCACTCTCTTCATTAACGTCCAATTCCTTCCCGTGATTCTGAAGAAGAAGCTGTGTGGACAGGATGTGGAGAGGATCACACTCAAAGAAGCTATCGAAGAAGCCGAAGAAGAAGGTATGTTGTAAAGTGGATACATCTGCTGCTAACGAAAGTAAACAAGTCAAAAATGATGTCTGCCAAAGCGTTAACCAACAAAAACATGCATGTCAACGCTTGCGAACCATTCAGAAAAACAACAGTTAACAAAATAAAATATGCCAAAACTAGAACTCAGATTACTTATGATGACGAGGAGCTTCATTTTTATGTTATTTATTCGACTTGTTTTTATACAGTACACAAATTGGATTGTTTTCTTGAGTGCCTGGGAGTTTCAGCAGCCATAACAGATTCTAACATGTTTTGCTTCGTTACACAGCCCGAACAATTAATGCAGCATACCACCCGCCCACCCTACTCCAAAACTCGTCCAAACTATTATTCTGCTAACTGCCTGGACACTTCAAATATGTCACAGGTTTTTATATGCTCTTTTTGTCAACAGAAGCAGGAGCATAGCGGAAGCATGCCCACCCCTCCTTAAGCTCAAAAAACACCCTCGAAATAATAACACAAAACTATTCATTGGATTCGGAGCAGGCACTCGTACTTAAACATTAAACACCTGCCACCTTCCTGCTTACTCAGTTTGCTAGGTTGCTAAAAAGCCTACGCTGCAACCAAGGGTATAAGTGCCTTTTTAAAATTCTCTTTCGAATCGTTTTGCTAAGTAATATTAGTTAGACTTTTGTGATGCAGGCCTCTAGCCTCGCAACGCCAAAGAAACTCTAGAGAAGTTCCGACAGAAAATGATTTCGTCGAACCCCGCCTACAATCAGGATGTTGCTTCCATCCAAAGAGGATTTTTCGAAAATAGCAGCATGAATATGAATGTCAAATATTTTTACACAAGAAGTGATTTTTCCTATGCTTCTAAACCCTGAGGCAGTTATATAAGCATACACAACAGAGAAAAAAATGACAAGACGATTAGATTATAAATTCGATTATGCGAAGCTTTCATAAAAGCATTAATAAGATAAAAAATAAATCTAACGATATCAAACCTCAGACTCGACAGGCTTGTCATCCTTTTCATCGACAATATCGGTAGCGTTCACGTTGTCCTCAAATTCATCTTGCCCGTTGACCAGCACTTTCTCCTCCTGCAATGCAGCTGTGCAACAACAACTATATTTTTTCAGCCGCTAGCCCATCGATAGTTTCACTACTGGATAGGAAATGAGTTCCTGTATACCGATACTGTAAATGGGATAATCCTTAGGACACTCGAAAAGGTCGAAAAGCAGTTAAAGTGCACAAAGACCCCTGCTTATGCTCGCACGTGTCACAAGTGCTATACAGGTCCGTTATGTCTTTTATATTAGCAGGAATGAAACATTTATCCACAACAACCTGCTCCTGGATGCTCATCACAAATCGTCTTTGTGGAACAGTAACGTTGGTGATCCATAGTGCTTCTGAGCATCAACAGCTTCATTATTCTCTCCAGCTGCCAGCTCTTTTCCTCGTTCTGGCAAAAAAAACTGCACTCATCAAAAATAAATAAAAATGAAACCACCAACTTAGCGTCAAACGTCGCACTCTATATATGAACGAGGCAAGCAGTACTCTTTACAAAAACAAACTCAAACTCTTCATCAGCAGGCAACTTAGGCTCTTCCTTAGCGACTTGATGAGCATTGTTATCCTGACTTCAGCTGGCCCAATCAGTGCACATACGCTCCTTTTTACCTGCAGTAGGAACGATAATTGAATACAGAAATGGAAAAATTGACCGTGGAAAATAGCACTATCTCAACTATTACGCGCGCAAAACTCACAAAATTTTATTTTTCGTCGAAACTTCGCCTAATAGGGGTTATTTGAGATCCTGATCACGAAAATGAGATTACGAGGAGGACCCGGGGTGGGTGAACCAGTCAAACATGTGGCAAACGTAAAGCGTATAGATCACAGGATAAGTGTTATTCACTTCGGAGCACTCTCCTCTCAAAGGCTTTATCCCGATCGCGAGGGTGATCAGTGAGAGGGCGCAGACGAGCGGAAAACAGGCGCACACAGGCGCTAAAAGGAAAGAACGAAATGTAAATCATTTCGTATCAGACCGCAAATCACCCAAGGTGCCAGTTTACAGCGAATGTGAAAACACCCTTGGCGCCAAGTTGGCGCCAATTGGCGCTAAATGGCGCCAGCGCCAAAAATGAACCTCATTTCGTGATTAGGGCACCGAATTATCCCTATAGGCGAAGTTTCGACGAAAAATAAAATTTTGAGTTTTTGGGGTCGTAATAGTTGAATAGTGCCTGGAAAATATGCATTTTACGAAACAAACTTCAAGCACTGGCGCATCGTTCTTTTCATTTTCAGCAGGAACGCCTTCAAAAGGTGTGCCGCCTTTCCCTTCAGCAACCAACTGCTCTTCTGCGGTCTGCAATAAAGGCACAGTGATAATAATGGCTCACCACTTCCTTCATAATTTAGGGCGCGGCCGTGGCGAGCGCGGACGAGTCCACAGCGCCCAAGAACTGTGATGGTGGTATGTTTCAAACTTACTCGCACAGTTCGCGGGCAATTGACTGGCCGCGATCGCCGCGGCAGTGCCCCAAATCGTGAAGAAAGTTGGGGAGCCGAGAGTAATTGGTAGCACATAGTAGTATATTACGACTATTAGTATACAGATAGATTATTATCAGATTATTTATTAGAGCATTTTTATTTTTTATCTATTTTTATTTTTTTCACGTTTTATTTTTTTTATAGTTATTATTTATTAGAGATTATTATCATTATTATCAGTATAGATTATTAGTATACATAGTAGTATATTACACATAGTAGTATATTACGATGAAGTAGTACTACAGTGCGTCGAAATAGTTATATTCCTCCTAGGAATCTCGAAATCTAGCTAGCAGAAGCGGACCGTACTTTAGTCGGCTCGGCTACATCTTGCTACAGATGATGCCACAACACCTTCTATACGGGAAACAATATGGGATTCTTGGACACGCACGAAGAACTAGCCCGAGACATCCAGTTTTGAAAAAGATTTGAGCGCGGCTTGCTACATCTTGATGTTAGAAGCCACTGTTTCTATTGAACTGAAGAGCAAGGAGTAATCTTTGAAATCTTGTTAGCTTCATATCATGTGAAATCCCTGAAGAAATTGTTGAGCTCGGCATGAATTTGGTCCAAATCTCGCGATCGCTTAGTCCAACAGGTTTCGGGACTCGTGACACAGATACTACTTACTTGGATACTTGGATGCTCGTTTTCAGCCGATGATCTTTAGCGGCGAGCACACGCTTCCCTCCATTTTTGACGATCTTGAGCCAGTGGGCCCAGTGTTGGCCCGCAGCTTCTTGAAGTTTTTCAGAAAGTCTCTCCACCGCATTGCAGGCCGGCCAAGTGTGCGCTTCACGTCTCGTGGATACCAAAACGTAACGCGAGTGGTCCACCGATCGTACATGCGTCTGACCACATGTCCGGCCCATCGTTTCTTTGCGTCGCACGTATACACTGCGGCGTCACGGATACCAGACATTAAGCGCATGTCTGTGCTGCGCAAGTTGGGGCTTCTCTGCTCTCGGCGGTTGATGTTCAGCAATTCCAGCGCTCTTTGTGCGCAAGTCAACATCATCGTGGACCTCTTGTTCTCTGCCCACGTCTCGGATGCGTAGCAGAGTGTGGGCAGTACCGCAGGTCGAGTAGGTCAGCTCGTATCTTCTTGTTCGAGATGAGCTGAGCCGCCTTTTGGATGCTTCCCATTGCCGTCCATGCGCATGTCTTGTGCCTCATGATCTCTGCACACAAGTTGTTGACCACGGAGATGAGTCGACCGAGACACATGGCAGTTAGTGCCCGGGAGTGCGGCGCCTCCGAGTATGATAGGTGAGCATCCGCCATTTGTTCCGCATGACCGTTGTCTTGTTCGGTTCATCGTTGACATCCCGACGACATCTCTTGAGGCTCGCTCTCGCTTCTGCCGCTTCCTTCAATCGAGTGTCTTTGTATCGCTGAATCGACTCCTTCACAGCGTAGCGCACGCTTTGTTAATCGTAGCACGTTGCAGTGGTGTGGATACAGAGTTACAGTGGACAGCAGCCCGTTGCTGGAGGAGTGTACGAGCATCGTCATCGATCCTACTCCTCGAGTTCATTCTTGCTGTCACAGCCGATGCCGTTGCGCAGTGTAGAAGTCCTCCTACAAGCAAGTAGCCCTTTGACAAGATTTGTGCCTCCTGCCACGTGTAGTGAGCAGCGGCCGCCTCCATGATGTTTCTGTCGTACTGCGACAGTCGTACGGGTGGAGGTCGATAGTGGTCTCGTCTTCGGAGTTTCGCTCGGAGGCGAACTTTGACCCGGAATAGTCTATGGTCGCTTGCGGTGCGGAATGCACCTACCACACTGACTTCTAACAAACACCACTTCCTGTTCTTGAGAATATGGTCGATTTCGCTGTGAGCTGCTACTAGGGCTCTCCCATGTCCAGCTTCGGCCCACGTTTTTCATGAAGAGGCTGTCTCCGTGGAAGAAGTTGCACTGCTCTAGGAAGTCCATCAAACGTTCTCCGTTTTCGTTCTGATCTCCGGTTCCGTGTGGTCCAATGCGCGCTGTCGCCGGCTTTTCCTCGTGGATGACTGCGTTGATGTCTCCAACAACGCACTTGCAGTGCAAACGCTCGATCTTCGTAGCCTCCTCCAGAACCTTATAAAACGTGTCTTTTTCTCCATCCGTTGCTGTTGACGTTGGCGCGTTACAGTTAGTAATACTGATAAAGGTGCGCCTGTCGATGCGTAGGCGAAAATGGCCAGGCGCGGGCCGAATACCTCGGTTGAGTCGACCAGGTTCTCAATTCGTTGGTGGACGAGGAATCCGACGCCGCCAACATTTCTTCCATCCACATTGGTTCCTAGAACAAGAAGATGGCCGTCGTTGGTCTTCCTGGTGGCTCTTTCTTTGATTGTTTCCCGGAGGGCGATGACATCAAAGCGAAGCTTCATGCTGGCCTCCATCAAGATGGTTTGGTCGGCCGCTGAGGCGATGGTACGACAGTTGTAGGTGCAAATTCGTAGACATTCCCCATTCCTCGACGGCTTTTCTTCCTGTGCACTCCAAATCCTGCGGCGGGTTTGTCTGCAGGTCCCGTCAGGTCGCCGTTTGCTCCAGTGCACTTTGAGCTCGTGCTTCCATTTGCGCCGCTCTGGACCTCTTTGTGCGTGTTGTAGCTAATATACCGACCCTCGTGTAGCTAGCCCATTGAGGGTGTTACATTCACTATTAGCCGGGGGTTTCTCCCGTTTCGCCCCTTCGAGGCCAGTGGTGGGATTTGGTGGGGAGGGGGGGGGGGGAGCGTGACACAGAAAAGAAAAGAAATGGAAAAATCATGAGGTGGAATTACAATTTTGCGACATCGGCTAAGTGGCCCTTCACAAAAAAGTAAGAGAAAAAATTAATCCTAATCCCAAGTTGAAGGTTGATGTTCATGGATAATGTCATATTTATATTCAACACATTTCGTCAGATTTTAAGACTCTGAAGTGAAGTAATAAATGTGCGACACAGTGCAGTGAAAACCTTATCCACTAAGTATGAGCGAGCCCCTCACAGAGGCAGCGTAAAAGTGGTCGGAACTGCATGACAAAGGCTGCTAAATCTCAGATCTTAAAAGAGAACCCGAGTTTGCAATAAGCACATTATCAGCGCAATTATCCACCAGCGGAACAAAAATAGTACACCAGTATTCAAGAGAAGATCCCTAAAAATGTCAAAGTTCAAAGTTTGCAAAAAATGGCAGAGACCAGCGAAAGTAAGCAAACTGAAATGATGGGCCATGCTCTAAACAAAAAGAGCTCGCTTGATTACCCAGAAAAATTATGCAAGGAATGAAAATGATAAGATACACACCTCAGCAGCAGTAACATTGAGCTTCACATCCTGAGCTGCAGTGCGGTCGCCGGAAGCAACCCCTCCAATGTCAACGCTATCACGAGAAACAGCGACATCATTCCCCTGCAAAAAATGAAATCGAGGATGAGACACACAACCAACCACAATCAAATTCGCAGGCTAAGAACTCACAGCATCACCACCGCAAAGCACATCTTCCACTTCGGCAACATTATCCATACCACTCGCGTGATTAACGCGGTCATGTTCAACTGGGAACTCACTTCCCTGAAGGCCCCCAATCGTAATATATGTAAAAAGGATTTCCGAAACCAAAATCAAAAACACACATTCTTAGCGCTTTCCATCATAGGAACGTTGAGAGCAATGAGTATCTGCCTGCAAACGGTGAGGTAATGGAAGACATATGAATAATCAATCAAACGGTACACCGACTGAACAAACAGCACACAATAAAAAAACATGTCATTCAAAATTTTTAATGTCCTACACAATGTAATAACAAACTGCAAGAAATTTTCACAAAGTCGGCAAAACCAAGAGTGAGTAAATATAAGAAATGACACGGCGCAATACAGGAAAGGAGATGAAAAATCATTGCTCTTCCTCTTTAATGTTCCCCATTTCTTGCCGTGAAAACCGTGGTCGACCTGAAATAAACATCGTCAGGGTAAGATGAATTGCGGTTTGAAACGGGAGATTGGTACAAGTGAGTGGGGACCAAGGCACTACGGGTGCTCCTTCTACTTCTCCCATATGCAGCTTTTCTCAACATACGCGCGCACAGGTTAAAAAGCTCACGAATTTCAAATGTCTAGCATGCAATATCCGAAAAAAAAAATGTAAAAAAAAATACACCACACATACTGTGCAGATGATGTGCACTACTGCAATCAACGCAGAAATAATGGAGAAGTTGCAAGTTTCAATAGAATTTAATCAAGAAACAATCCTTATCTCTTATTAAGAAAAAGAAACAGTTTAACATTCCAGATACAGCGTGCTCTGGTCTTTTCCCCTCGTGAGACGGACGCAATTTTTTGTGCAGCAACAGTAATTCGTGTCGAATCATGCCATCACGCAAGATGTATAGAACATATCAAGAGCAACTAACTACGTAGTAAGAAATGCGTATAAAGAGCCCCTTCAGCTTATTTTAAGATGCATAAAATATTTACGATTGCTGAAATAGCGGGTACCTTGGCCACCAATCAGATTCGGAAAACTGTTAACATTGAAAAAATGTGAAGCAAGCGAAGATTAAACAGTGCGCGGCGAATTCAATTCGGCGGATGTGTCCACCGCAGAATTCACAACGCAAACTACGACGGCCTTCACTTATAATTGTTTTCTATTTTACCAATATAATGATCAACCGGCTGCACTTGTCTTCCGTCAATTGTCACCAATTACAACTACCATTTAAACAACCAGCTATCACTACAAACTGTTAATTATCGTATTATCACGAAGGCCGCAGTATTTGCGTTGTGAAGTCTATAGAACAGACCACGTTGTACAGGACTCGTTGAATCGTCCTTGAACGTTCTCAATCTGATGCTACCTCCTCTCTTACTTAAACAGCTGATCGTGACTATGGTGATCGTCACATATTCAAGTTTTGCCACCACTGACAGTTGACTAACCTACTTTGAGCTTCCCTCCACTCCAAGGCCAACCTTAGCGATCTTCTCGACGCGCTGGAGCAGGCGCGCATCGTCTACAGCTCCGTGCTCCGGCGGTTAGCGGCATTGGGAAAGTAATAAATATGCTTGCCCCAATGTACCATGAGCCCTCAAATGAGAGCGATTTGAAGACGACTAGTTGAAGAAGTTCGCTGAACGCATATTTCAAGTAGTCCGCAGAACCTGACGCCAGATACAAAGATAAGAGCGAATGTAGATCATAACAAGGGACTTGAAGAAGCTATGATGGTAAGTTTTGACGCATGATAAGCGGTCAACGTTCATCGAACACTGACTGCAAGATGTCCTACGAACCTGGATTGTAGAACAGAATTTGCAGCACTATTGCAGCTATTTACAACTCAGTGGCTGAAAATGCGTCAAAAAAATAATTTTCGGCTGGAATTTCGGCTGTGATGGGGCGGATAGAGTCCCTGATCACGAATTATTGAAATTCATTTGGGTAGCGTCAATTTGCGGCACGGTGCGGCACGTGGCGCCACGCCTGATTCCCACTGAATTATCGCTGTAAACTTCGTAGTATAGAGGTTTTTTTGGGATTCTGATTACGGATAAGACATCTCTTTTTGTTGTAGCGCTATTTGCGGCCGATTGCCTGCTCGTCTGCGCCTCGCACTAGTTAGATCGCAATCTAGGACCAATGCTCTGAATAGTGGAGGGCTCCAAAGTGGAGTCAGGGCAGTTCGCTAATGGGCTACACACTCCACACTTGCCACACGGTGCGTGGTTCACGCCATCCGTAGTTGTCACTTCCCTCCCTAAGCGTGTCATAGGCGCCATCGGGTGAGAAAGGCTAGGAAATCAAAAATATGCGTTAAGCACACGAATGATAAAAACAGGTGCATATGCGTGATCAGGGCCCAAATAACTCCAAAGTTTACAGCTAATATAGTGATCACAGTATGGCGGCAGCTGGCGCCAAATCGCTGCAATTTGACGCCAGCTTTCGTGATCGCTGGACCCTCGACAACCCCATAGCAAAAAGTTTCAGCGAAAATATTTTTAACCATTCGGCCCAAATGGGGTGTGTAATAATGCAATAGTGCCGAATTTTTCACAACGATCATGCACAAAAGTTATTCAAAGATGTAAGTCAAGGAATGTCGACAAAATGCGTGAACGAAAATGTAAAAGAAATGAATTTAATGTAAACGTAAAAGCAAAAATCAATAACATGCGTGTAGTGTGTCACGAAAAAGCAAAATTAATGACTCGCTATAGTAGAATGTGTTGGAAACAACATGATAGTATGCACAAAACCATACCCAATGATCAAAATGAATGATGAGAAATGAGGCTATTTCAATAAGGTGAGGGAGGCATGTGATGAGACTAATTCAGGTGGAGTGCTACAGTAGCTGGCGACTCGCAGGAGGAAAAATCTCCCGGAAACATAAACAATTCACTCCGCTTTTACATCAGCTCCGGAGCAATTCTCATTAAAAAAAAGAGTTCTGTAGGCGGAACAATCAATGTTGCAGTTCATGCAGGCAACTCTCTCCCCCCTTTCTCACTGGAATAGATCAACAATAAAAAAATGAGAATAGCGCTGAGTAAGCACTGAATCATACTTCACGGCCGTGTGGAATGTGCGTAGGCAGATGTAGACGCAAACGCCGCCAACGCTGACATGCTGAGCGCGCTTTGAGAATCCGCGAGGCTTTAGCGTGTTCACCTCTTGTTTGCGCTCTGGTCTCTCTCCCGTTCGCCTATCAATTTTCGTAATTTATTCTTCCTGTTTCGCAACGTACGTCTGCGTTCCTTCCTGCCATCCCTTGATATTGGTGTTGTTCGTTGAGAGACGTCAAAAGTTCGCAAAGACACTGGATTTGACTAGAAATGGTCACTTGCGTTGTAATGTAGTGTTGCTTATCTATTAGAGCTCTTTTTGGTTTTGGGAGACACGGGCCATGAGCTCTATGCAGAGAACCCTCCATACCAGTATCTTGCATGTAGCGTTTACGTATGTGTCATATCTTGCGCCGCATCTGCGCTTATGGAATAAATAATCTATTCATAGGTCTCGTATGGAAATGGTTTTCAGTATGCATTAGATATCCATAATTTATAGTTTCGGGTAGTCGGGAAAACAAAACCTAGGGAAATATAAAAATATTACATATGGACTGATGTGTTTACACGTTCGACAACCGAAACCACGGTAATGATATAAAAACAGGTATCAGTGTGCTCAGGTCCGATCTCAGGGCTGCGCAAATAAATCGCCTCTGACAGACATGATCTTCGAACAGAGCTTTAGAGTGAGCTTTATACGCTCGCACTCAAACGACATAAAGATGCTACACGGCAGGCTGGAAGAACTATTGACTCCTTTAGGAAGACATTACTCAAGATTGACGCCATGATAATTCAGCAGTATGAGTGCCGTGGGTACTCTCTCACACTCAGTACTAGTGTTCACCATGGGCGCGAGAACGTATATCTGCGTAGATTTTTTGTTTTCTTTCTTTTACGGTACTCTTTATGTTTGCGCACCAGCAGTTTTCGTAACAGTGTGTTATATGTAGCGGATCAAATTAAGGTAGACAACAAGACATATTTCATATCAACAAAAATATAGCACAATAGGATTATCAATTCAAAAAGAATATAGATCAAAGAAATATAAGGGAATGTCGGACAAATGCGTTGTACGAAAATAAAAGAGCAATGGAATTTAATGTAACGTAAAAAGCAAAGTAGAACCAGGATCAAGCATGCAAGAATGGGTCATTTGTCACCGAAGAAAAGAGCCACGAAAAAGGGATTGGACGTCGGGTTTTTATTGGTAATGTCTGATTTTGTGATAGAAAAACACATTGACTAGTCGCGTAACTAGATCGCGCTAGCACAACCATACCCAAGCTGAAATCACAAAGATGAAATTGATGAGAGAATTGAGGCTATGTTAATTAAAGGGTGAGGGGGAATTTGTGGATAGAGATAAATCGAGTCGCATGGAATTGGGTGACGGTGACAGTAGTGTGCGTCAATCTCGATGGGTAGGAAAGATCGCTCCCGGAAGACATAACATTCACTCGCTTTTTTACATCAGATATACCGGGAGGCCACTTCTCATGAAGAGTCAAAGAAGGATTTTTTTCTAGGGAAGTTTTCGGCTATCAATACAATTAGTTGGATATGATCATCCAAGGCAACTCCTCTATCTTTCCTCACTGGAATTAGATCAAACAATCAAAAAAATGGAATAGCGCGAGTAGCAGCTGAAATCATATCACGGCCGTGTGGAATGTGCGAGGTCGACGCAAACGCCGCCCAACGCTGGACGATGGGCAGGAGGCCGTTTGGAACTGACGGCGCGGCTTTAGCGTGTGTCATCATGTTGGCGCTCTGTCTCTTCTCGGTTCCCCATCTCTTTATTAATTAATATTTCTTCCTTTTTGCACGTAGCGGTTTGATTAATTGCGATGCAGCGTGAACATAACGATTACTACTGATCACTTGCTGTTGTACTTTTGTCCTTTTTGCATTATTTGCATTGTTAAACGCATGTCTTCGAAAACTAACCAAGTTGCTACCACGTTTCCTTCGCTTCTGCGAGCGGCCGCCTTACTTA